ACAGAATTGTTGCTAGGCAGGGAAGTAAATGAAATGTATGCCAAATTTTTAAAACTATACGAGGAAGGCACACAAACATTCATACCAAAACAGAGATGCAGGGCCAGAAAACAGGATTGGTTCGACAGAAATTGTGAGAGGGCAAGAGACCAAAAGACACAGAAATGGAATCAGTATAGGAAGAGGCCAAACCCCCAAACATACCAGCGATACAAAGATGCGAGAAACAACTATACAGCAGTAAGGAGAGAGGCAGAAAGAAATTTTGAAAAAGGGATAGCAGATAAATGTAAAACAGAACCGGGCCTATTCTACAAATTCATAAACAACAAATTGCAGGTAAAGGATAATATCCAGAGGTTGAAAATGGGAAACAGATTCACGGAAAATGAAAAGGAAATGTGTGAAACATTAAATGAAAAATTCCAAAGTGTGTTTGTAAAAAATGAAATCTTCAGAGAACCAGACACAATAAGAATTCCAGAGAACAACATAGAGCGGATAGAGGTGTCTAGAGATGAAGTGGAAAATATGCTAAAGGAGCTCGGTAAGAACAAAGCAGCTGGCCCAGATGGCGTTTCACCATGGGTTCTGAGAGAATGTGCATCTGAGCTCAGCATTCCACTTCACCTGATCTTTCAGGCATCCCTGTGTACAGGAATCGTAGCAGACGTGTGGAAACAGGCTAACATAGTTCCAATCTACAAAAGTGGCAGCAGGGAAGACCCCCTCAATTATAGACCTGTATCATTGACGAGTGTAATAGTGAAAGTATTGGAAAAACTAATCAAAACTAAATGGGTAGAACACCTGGAGAGAAATGATATAATATCAGACAGACAGTATGGTTTTCGATCTGGAAGATCCTGTGTATCGAATTTACTCAGTTTCTATGATCGAGCCACAGAGATATTACAGGAAAGAGATGGTTGGGTTGACTGCATCTATCTGGACCTAAAAAAGGCTTTCGACAGAGTTCCACATAAAAGGTTGTTCTGGAAACTGGAAAATATTGGAGGGGTGACAGGTAAGCTTCTATCATGGATGAAAAATTTTCTGACTGATAGAAAAATGAGGGCAGTAATCAGAGGCAATGTATCGGAATGGAGAAATGTCACAAGTGGAGTACCACAGGGTTCAGTTCTTGCACCAGTGATGTTTATTGTGTACATAAATGATCTACCAGTTGGTATACAGAATTATATGAACATGTTTGCGGATAATGCTAAGATAATAGGAAGGATAAGAAATTTAGATGATTGTCATGCCCTTCAAGAAGACCTGGACAAAATAAGTATATGGAGCACCACCTGGCAAATGGAATTTAACGTTAATAAATGTCATGTTATGGAATGTGGAATAGGAGAACATAGACCCCATACAACCTATATATTATGTGAGAAATCTTTAAAGAATTCTGATAAAGAAAGAGATCTAGGGGTGGTTCTAGATAGAAAACTATCACCTGAGGACCACATAAAGAATATTGTGCGAGGAGCCTGTGCCACGTTTACTAACTTCAGAATTGCTTTTAAATACATGGATGGCGATATACTAAAGAAATTGTTCACGACTTTTGTTAGGCCAAAGCTAGAATATGCAGCGGTTGTGTTGTGGTACCCATATCTTAAGAAGCACATCAACTTCTTTAGATCTTTAGCCCCTGCTATTGCTTTGCTCTTCAACAAGTCACTTGAACTCCAAACCTTCCCAGATATTCTAAAAAAAGCGAGAGTAACGCCTGTCCACAAATGTGGTAATCTCACAGATGTTAACAACTACAGACCTATATCTATCCTGCCAAACTTGTCAAAAAATTTTGAAAAACTAATCTATAAGCAGCTTTACTCATATCTAGCCAAACTCAATATACTTAGCCCTTGCCAATATGGCTTCAGACCCAAAAAAAGCACTAACGATGCACTTATTAGTATGCTTAACTCGATTCATACAGCTCTTGATAAAAATGAGTTCTCTGTTGGGTTGTTTGTGGACCTGCGTAAAGCATTTGACACTGTCAACCACCAAAACCTTCTTCTTAAATTACATCATTATGGAGTCAGAGGACACTCCCTACAATACCTCAAATCCTACCTTACTGACAGGCTCCAATATGTTTCTGTGAATAATACAATTTCTCCCACCCTACCCATCAACATTGGTGTTCCCCAGGGCAGCATACTTGGCCCTCTCCTCTTTCTCATCTACATTAATGACCTTCCAAATGCCTCCCAACACCTCAAACCAATTCTATTTGCTGACGACACAACCTTCATTTACTCCAGTCCTGATCCCCTTGCTCTAAATGCCACAGTAAATACTGAGCTAAATAAAGTCCATCTGTGGCTAACTGCTAACAAACTCACCCTTAACATTGACAAAACCTTTTATATTCTGTTTGGCAATAAATCCTCTAATCAAATAAATCTCAAAATAAACAATACCCAAATTTGTAACAAATTAGATGGCAAATTCCTTGGCATTCTCATTGATCACAAGCTTAATTTCCAGGGACACATTCTAAACATATCAAAAAAGTTTCAAAAACTGTGGGCATTCTTTCTAAGATCAGATATTATGTACCACGCCCTGCCCTGGTGACTCTCTATTACTCCCTTATCTATCCATATCTCAACTATGGTATTTGTGCTTGGGGCTCTACTACCCAAAATCACTTACGTCCTCTAATTACTCAACACAAAGCTGCTATTAGGACAATATCCAATTCTGGCCCCAGACATCACTCGGTACCCCTACTTAAATCTCTGAATATGTTAGACATTAAGTCACTGCACATTCTCTCATGTGTATTATACATATATAAAACGCTAAACTATAATGCCAATCCTGATCTCTAAAGCTTCATAGAAGGTTGTATCAAAACCCATGAGCATCACACCAGAAATAAATACAGTTTTGATATTCCTAGAGTACGACTTAATCAAACTAGAAATGCTCTACAAATCAAGGGGCCCAGAATGTGGAATGACCTTCTCAACCATGTTAAAGACTGTACCTCTCTCAACCAGTTTAAGTTAAAAACGAAGCTATACCTAATAAATTCCCTGTAACCTACCTTACCCTTCTATTGTCAACCAATGTCTGTTTTTTTTCTTTAAAGAGCGCTGTTTGTCGACATAATTGTATTTGTGCTGCTTTTTCATCTATGTTTTCATTTCTTGTTTTCATTCTACTCATTATGCTCAATTAGTATTAAGCTTGTCATTTAAGTTTATCATGCCCGAAACGCTTTGCGTAATAGTGGCTTTAGGCATTGTATGTACTAGCTATACCTATAAGTTAAACAATCCTTGTAAATATTTATTGTATGTATGTACCTTACCTAAATAAAATTGTATTGTATTGTATTGTATTGTAACAAACTGAAAAAGATGCAAAGACACGCTACTAAGTGGCTCCCAGAACTGAAGGGCAAGAGCTACGAAGAGAGGTTAGAGACATTAAATAGGCCAAAACTAGAAGCCAGAAGAAACAGGTGATATGATCACTACATACAAAATAGTACCAGGAATTGATAAAATCGATAGGGAAGATTTCCCGAGACCTGGCACTTCAAGAACAAGAGATCATAGATTTAAACTAGCTAAACACAGATGCCGAAGAAATATAAGAGAATTCACCTTCGCAAATAGAGTGGTAGACGGTTGGAACAAGTTAAGTGAGAAGGTGGTGGAGGCCAAGACCGTCAGTAGTTTCAAAGCGTTATATGACAAAGAGTGCTGGGAAGACGGGACACCACGAGCGTAGCTCTCATCCTGTAACTACACTTAGGTAATTACTTAGGTAATTACATACACACACACAGGGGGCCCTACTTACGATAATTTCGAGTTACGACGTAAATTTCATCGAAAAATGCGACTCGACATCCGATTTTGTCGTCAACTTCCGATATTTGTTGGTACACGTTTGGGTCAACCGAGCGCGTGGTTCCCCGTCACGCGGCCGACCTACCTCAGTTTACTACAGCTGCCTGCTTAGTGATGATCGCTCCTATAAGATATTCCGCTTTTGTGGTGATTTTTTGCATTTTGAACACTAAAGTAATTTTCTATATCACGCCACGAGTCCCAGGAAAGTCTGTGGTAAGACTCAACATATGAAAACCCATGTAAGGATGACCATAGAGCAGAAAAAAGAGTACAGAATGTCTCTTCCTCAACAATTAAGAAAATGTGTGCAGCATGGGAAGAATTGCAAACCTTTGCTGAAACGACTCGCCCAAATCAAGCTGCAGTAAGTCGTTCCCTTAACCTATTCAATGACACTGTGATGCATCATTACAGACAAATGTTAAAATGAAGGGAAAAACAAATCTCTCTTGACAAATTTGTAGTGAGACAAACAAGCACTGAACCACAACTAGGTCCTAGTGGTATTCAGGCAAAACGTAGGAGAGAGAGTACCCCAGAGAAAACATCACTGCCTGATGTGATAATGGAAGGGGACTCCCCTTCCAAACAGGAACAACTCTCTTCCTCCCCCCCCATCACCATCTTCCATACACCATCAAGAGCCCTCCATAAAGGTAAGAGACACTTTGGTACTGTATTGTAGTTAGAAAAAAACATTGTATTCAGTATAAAATGTATTTGTATGTTAATATTTTGGATTGTGGGGAACGGATTAATTCAAATCCTTTTATTTCTTATGGGAAAAATCGCTTCGACTTACGATCCGTCTCTGGGAACGGATTAGCATCGTAAGTCGAGGCCCCATTGTATATATGTCTTTCCTCAGACCTCTCAATTAGGTCTGGTAGGTGGAATAACTCTGAGACAGGTAGACTCGTTCTTGAGGCTACCTGGGGTCATAACAGTACTCTCATAAACCCAATGTACCTTCTTGTAAATAAATAAATGCTTCTTATATCAGACACAAATTCTTATATAATTTATATCACGTAAAACATTACTTTTGCATTGTTAATTAAAGGATTCATTGTACAACATTATGATTATATTTATTTACAAACCCACCTGGAGCGGTGATGCGTGTGGTGCAGTGGAGGTGACCGAGGTAGAACTCTGGGAAGTTGGGAGAGGTGACGACCCCCTCTGGTTGTGTGAGGTGGTGGAGGGGGCAGGCGGAGGTGTCCACCACCCGCCACCACCCGTGAACGCCCGACCCCACCACCGACCAGTCAGAGTGAAAAGTCACCACAGCCTCATTCGTCTCGGATTCGAAGTCAAACCTGAAGTGTACCAACACAAACACTTGTCAGTCTTGTATAAGCTGAACCACACACACACCTGTAGCAATAAAATTATGTAAACAATTTATTGCTCCAAACTCATTAGCTAAATGAGAGAAGCAAACCTCTCATTAGCAATAATGATACCAATCAAATCTTTTCCCTAATTACAGGTAACATTTCTTCCATCCTATTGGAGAAAGCCGAGGTGCAGTACAATAATATAAGCAATCGAGAAGCGATTAATGATCAGTATAATTTCCACAGTGATTCAGTTAACTTCAGTACAGACGCTTCTGAGTTACCACACCTCTTCAACCTCAAGAATGTAGCACTTAGTGTATGCAGTTCTAATCGACCCCAAGATGCTCCAGCTTCGACACAGAGCAGACAGCAGACTACAACCGCATCGAGTTTAGACACTCACCACCCCATCGAGTTTAGACTCACAATTCCTCATCGAGCTGCCATGCTTGCCCGTATCAAGCTCTGCGACTCCGGCCTCACTCAACTCTCTGCTCTGCTCCAAGCAGCGTCTTAACGTCTACGACGCTGCCATCAACCGACTGCTGTAACCAAGGCTACTAAATAAATATGAAACCCTTTAAACACTGTATCTAATCTACCCAACAACCTAACATAATCGTACATTACATACCTGTCAGTCTTGTATAAGCTGAACTACACACACACACCTGTCAGTCTGGTACAAGCTGAACCATACACATTCACGTCAGTCTGGAATGTCTTGAACCATACATATATACAACAACCTGTCCACCTGTTCAGATAGTAGTTTTTGTAACTTTGTGCACCATAGTACAAACATTGACATACTAAGCAATTAGTAGAATTTGATACTATTTACTTTTATAGAGTCCAAAAAAATGAAGCTAAAGAACATATTTAAATATTCCTAGGCCTAGTATAGCCCATATATATGTACTATATTAGGCCCCTGATATCGTACAGTAGGCCTGGGAAGGTTAGGTTAGTTTAGTTTGTCTTTGCAACATATATATAAAATATTTTCCAGAATGTCCAAGTTCAATGTGTGTGATTTATACTTTATAAATGCGTTGTACGTCAGTATCTGTACTCTGGTCCTCCTCACTAAAAGTACTACCAAAACAGGAGGATGGGCTGTACACACACACAACAGTTGTGTGGTGCCCATATCTTAAGAAGCACATCAACAAACTGGAAAAGGTGCAAAGACATGCTACTAAGTGGCTCCCAGAACTGAAGGGCAAGAGCTACGAGGAGAGGTTAGAGGCATTAAATATGCCAAAACTAGAAGACGGAAGAAAAAGAGGTGATATGATCACTACATACAAAATAGTAACAGGAATTGAGAAAATCGATGGGTAAGATTTCCAGAGACCTGGAACTACAAGAATAAGAGGTCATACATTTAAACTAACTAAACGAAGTTGCCGAAGAAATGTAAAAAAATTCACTTTCGCAAACAGAGTGGTAGACGGTTGGAACAAGATAAGCGAGAAAGTGGTGGAGGCCAAACCCGTCAGTAGTTTCAAAGCGTTATATGACAAAGTGTGCTGGGTAGATGGGACACCAGAAGTGTAGCTCTCATCCTGTAACTACACTTAGGTAATTACACACAAACCAGCTCACCTGTTCATATCGGCAGTGTGTCGGCCGCAGTACCTCACCATGGTGTCGCGTGCAGAGGTCTGGAGACCCACGTAGTCATAGAGGCACTGGAGTTGGTACTCGAGGTCGAGCTTGAAGAAGGAGATGACAATGCGGGAGTTTGGGGGTCCTCGGAGGGTGAGTGTGAGGTGCAGGTTGTTGGGGTATGGGGAAGGGTAACCTGGGGTGGTCAGGTTTCCCCCGTAACCCAACACAGTGGAGCTCTGTATCGCCGGAGGGTCTGCTTAGAGGATACATACATGTATTAGTCAGGGCAAGAACAGCAATATTACAAGAACATCAAAAATAGCTTGCGAATAGCATATAATTCCCATTATGGGGGATAGGAAGCCTATCCTTGGAATTAATGACTTATTGGTCAGTCACTGACCTTTCCCAGGATGCATCCCCTAGCAGCAACCCCTTAATCCTCAAACCGCTAGGGGCCCAAATGGAATTCACACCTACAGGCGCAAAAAAAAAAAAAAAAAAAAATTCTTTCCTCTTATAGAAGTGTTCATTTTTGTTCCCTGATCACGGAAAAAATAACAAAAAAATCGTAGGTGGCATATTTTAGCCGCAATAGGGTAGGGAAGTGTGGCAAAAAAGGAGCGTTGGCAGAGCCTTCGCCAGACGAGGTCTACTCCGCCCGAGCTGTCAGACGGCAGTTGCCACAAATATATTATTACCTAATTATTTCAATGTCTCTGATTTTTTCTTAGTTTTTTGCAGTAATATTATTCCATACAGTGAATTGTGGTATATTTATATTATAAAATGTGTGAACCATCGCTGTACTCAAAATTATGGTGTGCATATTAGTGATTCAATTATTATGTTCATAAAACAATAAACAAATAGTTTTGCTGTTGTTACACTATATACACAGGTTATATATAAGTATCTGCATGTTTTGTACACCATACCGAACTACTAAGTTGGTCTTGTTTGTCAAAAAGCAACGAGGAGTGACCGCCAAACACCACCGAGCCACTCACTGCCACTCCCTCCCTCAACACCACCTCACTCACCCTCATTCACCTCCCACAATACTGTTTTTGTATTTATTCACTATACACAGACGTTATATATACATAGTTACATGTTTTGTTCACCATAACTGTACATCTAAGCTTGTATGGTGAGAAAAGGCACAAAGACGTAGCTACTCACACAGTCAGCTGATCGGCGGCCGCCCTCAAGGCCAGACGCACTAATATTTGTCCTCCAACAATATCGTTTGTGGTGTTATTACGCTATATACACACATTATATATAAGTATCTACCTGTTTTATTCACCATACCTGTACAAATAAGCTGGTATGGTGCCCAAAGACCATAGTGACCATCAGTCACCATGCCATGTCGTGCAGATGACGCTCCTCCCTCACCAAAATGGCGGCTCCCAACCTACTCCTCTCGCTGTTATCTCACACTATACACACGTTATATATAAGTATCTACATTTGTGTTCACCATAGCGAACCAATAAGCTGGTATGGTGAGTGCAGTCAAAAAATGGTGGCCACACACAGTCAGAAGACGACGCCACAACCCTCCCTCCCACAGCCTTACTCCTCCCTGCATGGAGCACAGCGCTAAATATCACCACAATCCTGCTATTATCAGAATCCTGGTCAGTTTTATCACAGTCAGGTGGCTTCAGTAATACTATCACTGCTAAATAATAGCAGTATCATTTATATTATGGTATTTGTAGGCGATGCTGTGGTCACAAGCTGAACAGCGGTGCTGTGAGCTCGTGCTGCGTGCGCCAGCCTTGGTGGCTTGCTCAATACTGATGCTGTAACACCCAAGAATGTTGGCCTGGATTTTTTTTTCTAGGTGGCATCTGGCAACTATCGGTCGTGGCTGTACTATAGCTGCCCCTATCCCAGGCGGGGCATTTAAATTATAGCGCTAGACACGAAATCATATATAAATGATGTGCGCAGTTTCGGTTTTGTCACATATCATTTATAAATGACATGCGCGGTTTGAGGGTTAACTCCCGGGTATCTATCTATTGCTAGGTAAATAGAGGCATCAAGTGGAAGAAAACTTTCCCCAACCATTTCTGTGCTAGCCGAGAATCAAACCAGGGATTCTCGATGCAAGTCAAGGACGCTGACTACTGCACTACAGGACCCATGTAGTATATATGGGGTTGGTGTTTATTTATTTATTTATTTATTTATTTATATATACAGTATACAAGAAGGTACATTGGGTTTGTGAGAATACATTGGATAGTACAGTATTTACATTCTTGTAAAGCCACTAGTACGCACAGCGTTTCGGGCAGGTCCTTAATCTAGCAGATATTTTTAAGTAGGTAATTTCAATCAGAATTGATAAATGATAAAGATACATTACAAGAGAAAAATGAGATGAGAGAGATAAGTATATTAAAGCACATTGTTATATTAAAGCTTTGATTGATTACATTGACAGCTTGATTAGTAATTTAAATAAGGTTAATAGACACCATACAGCAGATTGACAGCACATACAAGACAGCAATGATCACAATGGTAAAGATGTTCAAATTGGGAACATAAAGGTTGGGAGATTGGGTAGCAAATGATACAGTGCAATTTTAAGGCAAAAAGTGAAAAACTATGAAGATGAAATTAGGTATTTTTTAGTATTGATTTTGAATGATGTAAAAGTTGGACAGCTTTTCAATTCAGTAGGGAGTGAGTTCCATAAACTGGGTCCCTTTATTTGCATAGTGTGTTTACACAGATTAAGTTTAACTCTGGGGATATCAAAGAGATATTTATTTCTGGTGTGGTGATAATGGGTCCTATTACATCTGTCCAGGAAGAGTTTCAGACAAGGATTTGCATTTAAGAACAGGGTTTTGTAAATGTAGTTGACACAAGAGAATTTGTGGAATGAGATTATGTTTAGCATGTTTAGGGAGTTAAACAAGGGGCTGTGTGTTGTCTGAAAGCAGAATTTGATATTATTCTGATAGCAGATTTTTGCTGGGTGATGATGGACTTGAGGTGGTTTGCAGTGGTTGAACCCCATGCACAGATACCATAGTTGAGATAGGGATAGATTAGTGCATAATATAGAGAGATGAGAGCAGAGTTAGGAACATAATATCTGATTTTGGAGAGTATACCAACTGTTTTAGAGACTTTCTTAGTTATGTGTTGTATGTGGGTACTGAAGTTGAGTCTCTTGTCTAGGAATATGCCAAGAAACTTTCCATCACTTTTATTGCTAATGTTTACATTGTCAATCTGAAGCTGAATTGCATTTGTAGATTTGCTTCCGAATAAGATGTAGTAGGTCTTTTCTATGTTAAGTGTTAGTTTGTTGGTTGACATCCATAAGTGGACTTTTTTTAGTTCATTATTAACAACACCATTTAGTGTATGTGGGTTGGGGTTGGAGTAGATGAGGGTAGTATCATCAGCAAACAAAATAGGTTTCAGAATGTTAGAGACGTTAGGCAGATCATTAATGTATATAAGAAAAAGAAGAGGTTCCAAGATGCTGCCCTGTGGCACTCCAACAGTTATTGGTAGAATGGGAGAGGTTATATTATTGATGGCTACACATTGGTGTCTATCACTAAGATAGGATTGGATATAGTTCAGTGCATGGCCTCGGATTCCATAATGATGGAGTTTACTTAAGAGGTAATCGTGATTAACAGTATCAAAGGCCTTTCTCAGGTCAATGAAGAGTCCAATTGGAAACTCATTTTTGTCAAGGGCTGAGTAAATTATATCAAGGAGGCTAATAATTGCATCGTTGGTACTCTTTTGAGAGCAGAATCCAAACTAACAGGGGCTAAGAATGTCGAATTTTATGAGATAGGAGTAGAGCTGTTTGTAGATAATTTTTTCAAATATTTTTGACAGTATGGGTAGGTTCGATATTGGTCTATAGTTGTTTATGTCTGACGGATTACCTCCTTTATGAACTGGCGTTACTCTTGCTTTTTTAAGGATATCAGGGAAGGTATGACACTCAAGGGATTTGTTGAACAGCAGAGCTATAGGTAGCGCAAGGGCATGGGAGGCGCTCTTGTATACAATGGATGGGATTTCACTGATGTTCCCAGCTTTGGTTTTTAGCGAGTGTATGATGGACACAACATCTGACGGGCTGACTGGTGAGAGGAGAAGAGAGTTTGGATAGCTGCCTGAGAGATATGTGTTGATATGTGTCTGAGTCTGTGGGATTTTACTTGCAAGGTTAGCACCAATCGATGAAAAGAAGCTATTAAATTCATTCACCATTTCTAAGTCAGATGACAGTGTAAGGCCATCCTTAGAGAGTGTTATCTGCTTGTGGGAGTGTTGTTTAGTTCCCAGGATGTTAGAGATGGTATTCCATGTGCTTTTCATGTTGCCTTTTGCTTCTTTGAATCTAGTCTCATAATATGAAAGTTTTGCTTTTCTTGTGATACTGGTAAGCACTGATGAGTACCTTTTAACTACTTCCATTGAAACTAGGCCACTCCTAAATTTCTTTTCGTATTCATGTTTTTTGTTGATCGATTTAATTATGCCACTTGTGAGCCATGGCTTATTTTTTCTTTTATCAGTTACTTGTTTGGCAAGGAGGGGACAGTGAGTGTTGTAGAGGCTTAGAGTTTTGGAGAGAATGAGGTTAGTTGATGAGTTTATATCCTGTGAATTATTAAATTCAGATTCCCAGTTAATATTGTGGAGTGCATTAGAGAGATTGCCTAAAGCTGATTCACTATGTAGCCTGAATGAAAGTTTTTTTGGTTTCTGGTGGTGATGTGTCAATGTTTGCTATGAGGAAAGTAGGATAGTGATCAGTTGTTCTGTCATAAATTACCCCAGATGTAAGGGGAGCTGTTATATTAGTCCATAGGTGATCCAGGGTAGTGGCAGATGTTTGAGTGACTCGGGTGGGCTTGGTGATTGTGGGGATTAGCATACAGGAGTGCATGTTGTTACGGAAATAGTCAACTTGAGGGTTGTTTTGAAGACCCAGGTCAATATTGAAATCACCTCCCAGAATGATGTGATTTTTGTTGAGATTGTTATTTATGATAAGATTCCTTACATTGTCTGAGAATAAAGCTATGTTGGTATTAGGAAATCTATAGATGGCACCGATTATCAGAGAGGATTTAAGGGATTTACTGGAGAACTTGGCAAAGGTATATTCACAATAGTCGTCTCTATCACTAATGACACTATTGCAAATGAAGGTATCTTTGTAATATATTGCTGTACCGCCACCTTTTTTATTAGGCCTGCAGTTATGAATGGCTTTATAACCAGCTAAATTGTAGAGTTGGGTATAGTCATTACTTAGCCAAGTTTCTGTTAAAATGATGAAAGATAATTTAGTACCTAGCGCTGTAAGAAGTGCATTTATATCATCAAAATGTTTACCAAGTGACCTAACATTTTGGTTGTAAACTGGTAAGCAGGTGCTATTTAGGAGTTTGTTTTTTTGCAAGATTTGCTGTGTAATACCTGCAATAATGATGATCAATGTGCTGATTTGTGTGGATATGGGACAGAAGATTTCGATCTGTTCTGTGTTCTGATGGCAGTGATCATCCTCCTCAACCCTCATGAGATGATGGCTACCAAAGACGTTCTCCAAGATAACTGAGTCAAGTTAGATATCTCCAGAGTCAAACTAAATGTGTGCAAACACTCCATGCAAATAAAAGGACCCAGTCTTTGGAAGCCACCCCCCCCCCACCCCTAACGAATAAAAATATTTCCAACCTTTGCCCTAATCAAAAGTAAAACCAAAAAGTACCTAATTTCATCCTCATAGTTTCCTACCTTATGCCTCAAACTAACACTATCTTGTACAACCCACTTCCCCAATAGTAGTACTTAAGACATATCTTTACCAGTGTAATCACCTCTGTTCTATTTATATTGTAGTTATTTGTTGATATAAAACCTTGCTACAATGTACCTTTTCACCTTACCTGATATTTTAGATTAACCCTTAAATTGTACTCGCCTATTTGTGCTTGCGGGTGTTGAGCTTTGGCTCTTTGGTCCCGCCTCTCAACTGTCAATCAACTGGTGTACAGATTCCTGAGCCTACTGGGCTCTATCATATCTACATTTAAAGCTGTGTATGGAGTCAGCCTCCACCACATCATTGCCCAATGCATTCCATCCGTTAACTACTCTGACACTGAAAAAGTTCCTTCTAACGTCTCTGTAGCTCATGTGAGTACTCAGTTTCCACCTGTGTCCCCTTGTTCGCATCCCACCAGTGTTGAATAGTTCATCCTTGTTTACCCGGTCGATTCCTCTGAGGATTTTGTAGGTTGTGATCATGTCTCCCCTTACTCTTCTGTCTTCCAGTGTCGTAAGGTGCATTTCCCGCAGCCTTTCCTCGTAACTCATGCCTCTTAGTTCTGGGACTAGTCTAGTGGCATACCTTTGGACTTTTTCCAGCTTCGTCTTGTGCTTGACAAGGTACGGGCTCCATGCTGGGGCCGCATACTCCAGGATTGGTCTTACATATGTGGTGTACAAGATTCTGAATGATTCCTTACACAGGTTCTTGAACGCTGTTCTGATGTTAGCCAGCCTCGCATATGCCGCAGACGTTATTCTTTTTATGTGGGCATCAGGAGACAGGTTTGGTGTGATATCAACTCCTAGATCTTTCTCTCTGTTTCATTAAGTACTTCACCTATTCTGTATCCTGTGTCTCGCCTCCTATTTCCACTGCCTAGTTTCATTACTTTGCATTTTCTCGTGTTGAACTTTAGTAGCCATTTGTTGGACCATTCATTCAGTCTTTCTAGGTCATCTTGTAGCCTCCTACTATCGTCCTCAGTTTCAATCCTCCTCATAATTTTTGCATCATCGGCAAACATTGAGAGAAACAATTCTATACCCTCTGGGAGATCATTTACATCAGAAACAGTATAGGTCCAAGGACTGACCCCTGCGGGACTCCACTCGTAACGTCTCGCTAATCTGAGACCTCACCCCTCACACTGACTCCTCGTCTCCTGTTGCTTAGGTACTCCTGTATCCAACGGAGTACCTTCCCTTTCACTCCAGCCTGCATCCAGCTTTTTCACTAGCCTCTTGTGTGGCACTGTATCAAAGGCTTTCTGACAATCCAAAAATATGCAGTCTGCCCACCCTTCTCTTTCTTGCCTTATTTTTGTTGCCTGGTCGAAGAATTCAAGTAACCCTATGAGGCAGGACCTGCCATCCCTGAATCCATGTTGATGCTGTGTTACAAAGTTCTTTCGCTCCAGGTGCTCCACTAGCTTTCTTTGCACAATCTTCTCCATCAGCTTGCATGGTATTCAGGTTAGAGACACTGGGCTGTAATTCAGTGCCTCCTGTCTATCCCCTTTCTTGTATATCGGGACTATGTTAGCTGCTTTCCAAATTTCTGGCAGTTCCCCTGTTGCCAGTGATTTGTTATACACTATGGAGAGTGGGAGGCACAGTTCTTCTGCTCCTTCCTTTAGTATCCAAGGGGAGATTCCATCTGGGCCTATAGCCTTTGTCACATCCAACTCTAGTAAACACTTCCTTACTTCCCAGCTGGTAATCTCAAACTCTTCCAGTGGTCCCTGGTTAGCTATTCCCTCTCTTATCTCTGGGATTTCTCCTTGCTCTAAGGTGAAGACCTCTTGGAACTTCTTATTCAGTTCCTCACACACTTCCTTGTCGTTTGTAGTGAATCCTTCTGCCCCTATCCTTAATTTCATAACCTGTTCCTTTACTACTGTTTTTCTCCTGATGTGGCTATGCAGCAATTTAGGCAGAGTCTTTGCCTTGCTTGCGATGTCATTTTCGTATTGTCTTTCTGCCTCTCTTCTCATCCTGACATATTCATTCCTGGCATTCTGGTATCTTACTCTGCTCTCCAATGTCCTGTTATTCCTATAGTTTCTCCATGCCCTTTTACTTTGCTGCTTAGCTAGCCTACATCTCTGATTAAACCATGGGTTTCTCATCTTTATTTCACTGTTTTCCTTTTGGGCTGGGACAAACTTGTTTGCTGCGCCCATGCATTTTTGCGTGATGTAGTCCATCATATCTTGGGCCGTCTTACCCCTGAGCTCTGTTTCCCATGCTATATCTGTTAGGAATTTTCTTATCTCCTCATAGTTTCCCTTTCAGTATGCTAACCTTTTGGTTTCGGTATCCCTCCTCGAGTTCAATAACCCTTCTTCAATCAGGTACTCAAACACCAATACACTGTGGTCGCTCATTCCTACTGGGGCCTCAAAACCGATTTCTCTTATGTCAGAGTCGTTCAGGGTGAAGACCAGGTCGAGTCTCGCTGGTTCGTCATTTCCTCTCATCCTTGTGGGTTCTCTGACATGCTGTGTAACACGTCATATGCAGGGTTGAGTAACTTGCAATAAATTGCGCAATTTATTGGAGTACTACGTGTAGTACTCAAGTACTACACGTAGAGTAGTATGCAAGTACTACTGCTCACTCTACACAAGTAATTAAACAGAGTACAGTACTACGCAAGATTTAAACGGCCCACGGATACATAGGGTTCACCTCACCTTCATCAGGGCTCTTGTAAACAGACACCATTTAAAAATAAATCGTGGGCCACATTTCCGGGTGTGAGGGCCTTAGTAGTGAATGAGCGACCAAGGCTTGCACACGCAGCATGAGCTCACAACACTGCTGTTCAGCTTATGACCCACAGCATTGCCTAAATATGCCATAATATATATATATTCATGCTATTATTTAGCGATGATAGTATTATAAAACACCCCGATTGTGGTCAAAATGACCAGGATTCTGATAATAGCAAGATTGTTATGATAATTTGTGCTGCGCTGTGCGAGGAGTAAAGTTGAGGGTGGGAAGGCTGTAGCATCATCTGCCGAATCTGTGTGGCCACCTGTTGCTGTCAGCACTTACTATACGAGCTTAGTGGTTCGCTATAGTGAACAAAACATGCAAATACTTATATATAACTTTTGTATATAGTGAATAAAAGCAAAAACATCTGCATGATTTATCATGCTGGATAGGGGTGGCCAATATGCTCTTTGGGCACTATACTGCCTTAGTTGAACAGTTATGGTGAACAAAAATGTAAATATTTATATATAATGTGTGTATATAGGGTAATAACACCACAAACAGTATTGTTGGAGAAATTTTAGTACGTCTAACCTTGGATGTGAGAGGGAAGCAGCCGCCAGCTGACTGTGTAGCGACGTATCTTAGTGCCTGAACTAACTACTGTATATTTATTTTTGGCATATTTGTACAGTTGTGGTGAACAAAACATGTAGATAAATATATATATATAACGTCTGTATATAGTGAATAAAAGCGAAAACAGTATGGTGGGAGGAGAATGTGGGCCAGTGAGGTGTTGAAGGAGTGAGTGGCTGGCTGGTGTGTTGCGGCCACTCCTCGTTGCTTTTTGACTCATAATACCAACTTAGTGGTTCGTTATGGTGAACAAAACATGCAGATACTTGTAGATAACCTGTGTATATAGTATAATAACTGACAAAGTATTTGTTCACTGTTTGAGGAACATAATTGAATCAACAATATGCATACCATAATTTTGAGTAGAGCAATGATTCACACATTTTATTATATAAATATATCACACTACACACTATTGAATAATATTACAGCAAAAAAACGAAGAAAAATCAGACATTGAAATAATTAGCCAATTATCTTTTGTGGCCACTCCTGCCTGACAGCTGGGGCAGAGCAGAATGCCTGGGACGCATGATGAGTCAGCGCCTGTTTTTAGTCAGACTTCATCGCCCTATTGCGGGCAAAATATGCCACTTACAATTTTTTATTATTTTTCCCATGATCAGAGAACTCAAATTAACAAGTTTAGAAGAATTTTTTTTTTTTTGGTATGCACCTGTGGGTGACAATGGCCAAATAGCTCTTAGCAACACAAGGGTTAAACAAAAAACACCCCACTAAACTCTTGGAATAATGTCTCCCAAACTCGCACACAATTCACATAGCTTTATTATACCCACGTATCCTGACCACCAGCAGGACAAACACTGGTTCCAGTCACTGACTCACCAGGTACCCTCCTGGAGCAGATGTACCCGCCAAAGAGATCACACTGGTGGGCGGACAGGGAGAGTGGCGGCTGACGATGCTGGCGGGGTCTGAGGAGTAGTGGAGGCGCCGGGGACAGTTCCTGTAGACTCAGGCATTCCGACTCCAGCCCTCCAGTAGCCAGGCGACCCTCCACGGGGCCTACCTCTGTCAGGAGAAATATTGCAATATTATCATCAAGGCATACGTACAGTACATCTATGCACATTACGTAGAACTGTTGCATCAGTACATGATCAAAGTCCAGGATACTCAAACTCTACAGTCAGAACAGCATTCCTGAGAAATTATTATTAAATCCAATTCATAAACTTTCAAGACGTAGCATACATTGGCGTACAACAAGATGAACATGTTTACACACATATACTCAACCCACATATCTGAAAAATAAAAAAAAGTGAAGACGTTTCGATCCTTCCTGGACCATTATCACAATAATTCTCCAGGATGGACCGAAATGTCTTCAATACCCTAGAGTTCAGATGTGTCCGTTGTGTGTCTTAATTTTCAGCCCCGTTATCGTGACTTGCTGTTCACAACATTTTTATGACAGACATCTGAAAAAAGCCTGTACCAAAACATGCCGCCACTCGGCCACGAAGAGGCATTAGGAACGTAACTTAAAACATGACGATTTCATTTGGTTGTGTGATAGAGTCAGCTGGCACGCTAGTTAATGTAATTCCCAGAGTAAGAATTACACCGTACTGGTCGCCATACTACAGAATAGATGGTCGCCGTACTATAGAATGGATATAAATTTACTTGAAGTGTCCAGAGTAGGATAACAAAGTTCATTCCCCAAATTAGAAACCTGTCATATGAAGAGAGATTAACCCTTAAATGGCGCATGGCTATATACCATTTGACACCCACAGGCGCATACAAAAAATATATATTTTTTCTTCCTAACCTGTTAATTTGTGTTCACTGATCATGGGAAAAATAATAAAAAAATCGTAAGTGGCATATATTGCCCGCTATAGGGCGGGGAAGTCTGGCAAAAAACAGGCGCTGACTCAGTGTGCGTCCCAGGCGGTCTGTTGCTTGCCAGCTGTCAGGCCGGAGTTGCCACAAAGAGATAATTACCTAATTATTTCAATGTCTCTGATTGATTTTTCGTAGTTTTTTTGCTGTAATATTATTCAATAGTGTGTAGTGTGATATATTTATAAAATAAAATGAGTGAATCATCGCTGTACTCAAAAATATGGTGTGCATATTGTTGATTCAATTATGTTCATCAAACAGTGAACAAATACTTTGTCGGTTATTACACTATATATACAGGTTATATATAAGTATCTGCATGTTATGTTCACCATAATGAACCACTAAGTTGCTATTATGAGTCAAAAAGTAACGAGGAGTGACCGCCATGTACCAGCCAACCACTCACGCCCTCCCTCAACACCTCACTTGCCCACATTTTCCTCCCACCACACTGTTTTTGCTTCTATTCACTATATGCAGACGTTATATATAAGTATCTACATTCGTGTTCACCATAACGAACCACTAAGTTGGTATGCTGAGTGGCAGTGGCAGCCCACCACTGGCTGCCACTCCCTCCCTCACCTCACCTGACTTGCCACCATTCTCCACCCACCATACTGTTTTTGCTTTTATATACAGATGTTATATATAAGTATTTACATGTTTTGTTCACCATAACTGTACATCTAAGCTTGTATGGTGAGTAAAGGCACAAAGACATAGGACCTCACACAGTTAGCTGGCTGCCGCCCTCAAGGCCAGACGCACTAATATTTCTCCTCCAACAATACTGTTTGTGGTGTTATTACGCTATATACACACATTATATATAAATATCTACCTGTTTTATTCACCATACTTGTACAAGTAAACTGGTATGGTGCCCAGAGACCATCGTGGTCACCAGTAAACAACATAATGCTATTTATGTTAATTTTTATTTATTTATGTTTAATTTATTTATGTTAAACAACATGCTATTAGGACAATATCCAACTCTGGCCCCAGACAGCACTCGGTACCCTTACTCAAATCTCTGAATATGTTAGATATTAAGTCACTGCACATTCTCTCTTGTGTATTATACATATATAAAACGCTGAACTGTAATGCCAATCCTGACCTCAAAAGCTTCATTGAAGGTTGTAACAGAACCCATGAGCACCACACCAGGAATAAATACAGTTTTGATATTCCTAGAGTACGACTTAATCAAACTAGAAATGCTCTACAAATCAAGGGACCCAGAATGTGGAATGACCTTCCCAACCATGTTAAAGACTGTACCTCTCTCAACCAGTTTAAGATAAAAACTAAACACTACCTAATAAATTCCCTGTAACCCACCTCACTCCTTTATTGTCAACCCATATGTCTGTTATTTTATTATTATTATTTTTTTTTTTAATCAACACTGTTTGTCAACCTATTGTATTTGTGCTGCTTTTTCAGTCATGTTCCCCCTTTTTTTTTATCTTTATTTGTATTTGTTTTCAACACTTTTTATTCTTTATGCTCAATTAGTATTAAGTTCTAGATATTAATGTTTTTCTTGCCCGAAACGCATTGCGTAATAGTGGCTTTAGGCATTGTATGTACTAGCTCTATCTTTATATCAATCCATTAATGTAACATCACTTGTATGTATGTACCTTACCTGAATAAACATATTTATATTTATTTATTTATTTTATAATAAATCGTGCAGACGACGCCACCACCCTCACCAAAATGGCGGCTCCCAACCTACTCCTCTTGCTGTTTATACCCTCTATACACACGTTATATATAAGTATCTACATTTGTGTTCACCATAGGGAACCACTAAGCTGGTATGGTGAGTGCGGTCAATAAAAGGTGGCCACACACAGTCAGAAGACAACGCCACCACCCTCCCTCCCACAGCATTACTCCTCCCTCCATGGAGCACAGCACTAAATATCACCACAATCCTGCTATTATCAGAACCCTGGTCAGTTTTATCACAGTCGGGGGTCTTCTGTAATAATATCAGCGCTACATAATCTCAAACACCTGAAACCAATTCTATTTGCTGACGACACAACCTTCATTTACTCCAGTCCTGACCCTCTTGCTCTAAATGCCACAGTAAATACTGAGCTAAATAAAGTCCATCTTTGGCTAACTGCCAACAAACTCACCCTTAACATTGACAAAACCTTCTATATTCTGTTTGGCAATAAATCCTCTAGTCTTATAAATCTCAAAATAAACAATACCCAAATTTGTAACAAATTAGATGGCAAATTCCTTGGCATTCTCATTGACCACAAGCTGAATTTCCAGGGACACATTCTAAATATATCAAAAAAAGTTTCAAAAACTGTGGGCATTCTTTCTAAGATCAGATATTATGTACCACGCCCTGCTCTGGTGACTCTCTATTACTCCCTTATCTATCCTTATCTCAACTATGGTATTTGTGCTTGGGGTTCTACTACCCAAAATCACTTACGTCCTCTAATTACCCAACACAAAGCCACTATTAGAACAATATCCAACTCTGGCCCCAGACATCACTCGGTACCCCTACTCAAATCTCTTAATATGTTAGATTTTAAGTCACTGCACATTCTCTCATGTGTATTATACATATATAAAACGCTAAACTATAATGCCAATCCTGATCTTAAAAGCTTCATAGAAGGTTGTAACAGAACCCATGAGCACCACACCAGAAATAAATACAGTTTTGATATTCCTAGAGTACGTCTTAATCAAACTAGAAATGCTCTGCAAATCAAGGGGCCCAGAATGTGGAATGACCTTCCCAACCATGTTAAAGACTGTACCTCTCTCAACCAGTTTAAGATAAAAACTAAACACTACCTAATAAATTCCCTGTAATCTACCTCACTCCTCTATTGTCAACCCATGTCTGTTATTTTCTTTTTTTTTTTCTTTTTTTTTAATCAACACTGTTTGTCAACCTATTGTATTTGTGCTGCTTTTTCAGTCATGTTCCCCCTTTTTTTTATCTTTATTTGTATTTGTTCTCAACATCTTTTATTCTTTATGCTCAATTAGTATTAAGTTCTAGATATTAATGTTTTTCTTGCCCGAAACGCATTGCGTAATAGTGGCTTTAGGCATTGTATGTACTAGCTCTATCTATATATCAATCCATTAATTTAACATCACTTGTATGTATATACCTTACCTGAATAAACATCTGAATCTGAATCTGAATCTGAATAATAGAATGAACAAGTATATTATGGCATTTTTAGGCGATGCTGTGGTCACAAGGTGAACAGCAGTGCTGTGAGCTTATGCTGCAGGCGTCAGGCTTGGTAGCTCACTCAATACTGAGGCCCCTAACACCCGGGAATTTGGCCTACGATTTAAAAAAAAAAATGGCGTCTGTTTACAAGAGCCCTGATGAAGGTGTGGTGAACCCTGTATATCCGTGGGCCATTTAATTCTTGCGTAGTACTCCAAAGCATCATACGATGTGATGCGCAATTTACTGCAAGTCGGTAAAACCATCATATGATGCGATGCACAATTTACGGGTTAACAAAGCTTAAATTGCATTCACTGGAAAAGCGAAGAGTTATGGGGTCACATGATGGAGGTTTACAAGTGGATGAATGAACATAAAGGAGATATTAATAGTATATTAAAAATATCAACAAGAGAGAGAACACAAAACAATGGGTATAAATTGGGTAAGTTTAGATTTAGGAAAGACTTGGGTAAATACTGGTACAGTAACAGGGTTGTTGATTTGTGGAACCAATTACCATGTAACATGGTGGAGGTGGGGTCCCTCGATTGTTTCAAACGTGGGTTGGACATGTATATGAGTGTGATTGGGTGGTTATAAATAGGAGCTGTCTCATTTGGGTTAATAGGCCTTCTGCAGTTACCTTTGTTCTTTTGTTCTTATAGTACGGCGACCAAAACTGAACTGCATAATCTAAATGGGGCCTAACCAGAGCAAGATATAGCTAAAGCTAGAACACCACCAGGTGTCTTGTTACTAATAATTCAATTAATAAATCCCAGTGTCCTATCTGCCTTATTACGAACATTCATGCATTGATCCTTGGTTTTAAAATCTTACTAATCATAACTCCCAGATCCTTTCGCAATCCGACTTTGCACTCTCAACACCATCTAGC